AGTGAAACAATGGCCATAACCCGAGAAGTAATTAACGGAAATTACTGAAATTCAATAGGCTTCTTCGTTTCACTAATTTAAATTATACATATAAATTTCACAAAGATCGGATAGCTTTTGGCGTTAGAGCGTTCACAAGGTTAAATAAAGTGAAACGAGGGCTATAACTCTTAGACGTAATAAACGGAAATTACTGAAATTTAATAGGCTTCTTCGTTTCACTAATTCAAATAATGCATATAAATTTCACAAAGATCGGATGATAACTTTTGGCATTAGAGCGTTCACAAGGATAAACAAAGTGAAACAAGGGCCATAACTCTAGACGTAATAAAAGGAAATTATTGAAATTTAACAGGCTTCTTCATCTCACTAATGTAAACAACATATCAATTTGAAAACAATCGGATGATATCTTTTGGCGTTAGAGCGTTCACAAGAAATTGTGGACGACGGACGGGCGGGGGCGACGACAATATACGTCCACATTTCCATGTGGGCGTATAAAAAGAGATCAAAAACAAACTTTGGCCATAACTATCAATATAGTCACCCAATCCTGGCATTAGCTTCGAGGACAGACAACTTAAACAGATTAACCCTTTGGCATCGATATTAAAATATTCATATACGCATGCTGTATGCCCCAAGGTTACTATATGTAGGCTCTATTATTCTAGTTATTTAGAGAGATACGTTCATCTTCTAATAGTACTGCCTGACCTTAACATTGTAAACAAATCAATAGTTTAATACCCGATATTATGACGTCAGCTAACGTTGATTTATCAAAAAGGAAACTTTCAGTGGCAAGTGCCAAGCTCAAGTTTGACACTTTTATTGCAGACTTATTAATCATACTGGTTGAATTGAGTGAATACATACGTAGTGGTTTAGTTAGCCTGGCCTCTTCCACTTGTACAAGCAAAAAAAAAAATATATATATATATATATTCGACTTCCGTTGATACATTCCATTTAGTTATGTCGATTTTTGATTAGCAAATCGTAACGATTTTGAAGTTGTCCGATTTACTGACAATAAAGCTAAGTTTACACTGTCTGTTAAGGTCAAATCTTGAAGTTATTCGATTCAATGATTAAAATTCAGTCTAAATGCTAAAGTTGGAATCAGCGATCACTGTAAACAGCGAACTTAGTCAAGGTATTGATGTCATGAAACTATACACCAAGTTTCATCACTCTCACTTAATTAGAACTAAACTTATCACGTCCCATGCATCAACCAACCAAATTGCTTATCTCTGCTTACCATAAGCAGAAAATGTCCATCTTCGCACTCCATCAAGGCATTGACCTAATAAATACCTACACCAAGTTTGAACATTTCAGCTCAATTATAAGGAGAGTTATTGTGTTCCAAGGTCTCGGCCAATCAAATTGCTTATCGCTCTGCTTACCCTGAGCAGAAAATGCTCATCATCGAACTTAGTCAAGGTACTGATGTAATGAAACTATACACTAAGTTTCATCACTCTCACTTGATTAGAACTAAAGTCATCGTGTCCCAAAGCATCAACCAATCAAAGTGTTTATCTCTGCTTACACTAAGCAGAAGATGCTCATCTTCGAACTCCATCAAGGCATTGACCTAATAAACAGCTACACCAAGTTTGATCATTCTAAGTCAATTAGAAGGAGAGTTATTGTGTCCCAAAAAGTGTGACGGACAGACAGACAGACAGACGAACCCATTTTAATAGTCCCCTTCTTTCTTCGAAAGGCGGGGGACAATTAGGAAATTGGATCAAATTTCCATTCTTGTGATAGATGGTCAACAGTGTAAGTCCGGATAGTTTCATATACCTTAGGTCCACGGGGGTAATGGGGAGGGACATGCAGAGTCCCTCAATCAAGACAAGTGTTTCGAGGAGGTGAATTTTGTGGTGAAGTACCACACGCGACTCAACGACTGGGTCGATAACCATCCTGTTAATGCGACTTGAATGGGGCATGACGTCCACAATGAGGTGTATTTTGTATTTTGTACACGGTGAACAGTCCATTTGCTGATTTGCCTATACCGTTTTTTTAGGACTTAGAATTTTGTTTAATAGTTTGGATTGTTCGTACTTGATTTTATTTTATGATAGATATGCTGGGGGGAATAAGTGATAGACATCATAAAATTAAAGATGCTCAATACTATTCAATCAAATTTGACGAGGTTACTAGTCACAATAATGCATACGTGTCGATAATATTTCAATCTGATTAAAACACAGATCCTATTTCGTTTCGTTTTTATAGTTCAAAATTTCGTTTTACTTGTCTTTACTACACTTGGATCTGGAAGAGTTGTTATTTAACTCGTGTTCTGAATGGTGTCAGGGATAAGCCAATGAAACGGTCGGTCACGGCGAGCTTTAGGCGTGTTTTGCACGGAACTGTGGGTAATCCACTAGTAACATCAATGCTGATTGGTTAATTAAATGTCTGACATCATAGGGTCATAAGTCGGTCTTTTGACCCCTGACGTGACCTATCGCTATAACTTGTCAGATCTTCATGTAGTGAAGGCCATCGAAAGTATAAAAAAACGAAACGAAATATAGATCTGTATTTTAATCAGCGTTGAAACATGTTGTCGGCCTCACAGGGAGATCATTAGCTGATATCCTGATTCAGAAACTGTCACAACTCGATCTTCCACCCTGTGATTAATTGGAAAGGGTTTGGATGGTGCGAGCAATATGCCTGGTAAAGACAATGGTATGCAGGGAATCCTAAGCGATGCACGAGCCATCAATTTACAATATTTCCATTGCTTCGCTTACTGTTTAAATCTTGTTCTGGGAAAATGTGCTGAAACACTCACCGAGGTCAAAATGTGTTCACACTTATTCGTACGGTTTACACCGTGATGGAAGGGGGTCACCAAAACGTTTGGATGTTTACAAGCGCCATCTGGAGGCTTCTGCAAGTAAAGGACGTACGGCGTTGAGATCATTTTCAGACACACGATGAACAGCGAGGCTGGACAACCTGTCTGCTCTGTTAAACAGTTTTGCAGCACACACCAGGAATTGCGGGATGTTGATAGTGCTTCCCCGGGAATAATATTACAAATTGGTACTTTTGAATTTATTCTGAAGACACTAGTAGTAAGCGAACGGTCTAAGTATGCCTCCGAATACATGTAGCGCGAGGATATGGATTTGGCTACTGCAGTTGATACAGTTACGACTCTAAAAAGCCACATCGCCACTTTGAGAACCCCGGAGAAATTCGTGGAGTTTCTGGACCATCCAAAACGACGAGTGCGCGGTGTGGAATAGACCAGGGTTTCACCGCAAGTTGCCATATAGACTGGCTGACGGTCAAAGTATTCTCAATGACACATACAGCCATGGACACGCGACGAGAGACACTGATAACCATATCCGTGTCATGATGCAGAATCGAACACGAGACGATCATTCTTTTTATCCATTATTGGATATGCTGTATAGGAAATGAGTTGAATAAGCGGGTATGTCAGCATTTATCCCATCCAAGTTGAACGATGAAATATAAGGATACAATGGAGAAATTGGCTATTAGGTACCAAATAGACGGACATGCGTGTGCGAACGAGTACATTCTGTTCAGAAACTCTCCGCAGTTTACTGGTGTACTGGATGAGATGACCAGCCGTCGAGAGAAGGGACTAAAAGTTCATCGATTCAACCTATTCTACAGCAAATCTTCGCAATGCTAACCTGGACAATTTGAAAACAAAGCTAGACAAGCTTATTAAAATTTGCTCTTCCTTGTCCGTGTCTATTGCATCATGTGAATGATTACACAGCAAGGTAAAAATCGTGAATTCGTACCTTTGTGCAATGATAGACAGCAGCGAGCGTGATATCACTGCGGAGGTTGACTTGGATAAATTGGTGACTATATTTGCCATGAAACCTAGAAAGCTTCCACTATAAATCATTTGCAATCAACTACAATTGTGTTTGGCACTGTAATTGTTCGATATTATTATAAAACTGGGATATAATAGATGACTGGCGAAAAATTTGGAATAAGAAAGTCTTTTGGGGTAAAAATTGACCCGATTTCCTTGCAGATATAAACATCTGAAATGGTTTCAGATTAAATCTCCGGGCATCTAAATTTTGAAATTTTTAAGAGGGGTGGGGCACCTCAGAACTCCTGCGCTCCCCCATCTTCGGTGATTCGCCGTCGATACAATCCATCAAACAGTCTCCGCCCCCTTTTTAAACCCTGGTTCATCCACTGCTTAGGTCTCTGATTGGGTGAAGATAAGGTTAAAATGGTGGTTATATACTCAAATCGGTTATTTATAGCAGTGTAAACACAACATTCAAAATGAGTGCAACTCGTGCCTCAAGACCTTTCTGATATCGTTTGATCGGTCAACTGAAGTTTTTAATAATGTTTTATTAGACAGGGCGAAGAACCTTGTCAGTCGGCTGTAATATGTGACCCAGATTCTCAAGATTTTATAGTTTTAGAGGGACACGCCTGGCTTTCCCAAGGTTGTTACAAACAAAGAATGTCTATGTTATGTGTTTTTATCTTCTAATATACATATCTCACTGTGTAAACAGGTCCTTACAAAGTTGTATGTAAAGGAAGCATGTAAACAATGAGTTAAAGAGTCTTAACCAAACGTGTAAAAGTAAAATAATCATTAACCTTATATTTAATATAACGCAATTATTTTGTTCTAAATCATCTTTGAAGGCGCGTTCAATTTAAAAATAAATTTTGTACTAAAGTAAATCAGTTGTGTATTGTTTTTAAAAAAAGGTGTTTGCGTCATACAAGATATTCGGCATCCTAAAAATACCAATTTAAAGCACTCAAAACTTAAGTGATGTATCATGTATGCTGAATCTCAAAATTGCATTTAAAGTGTTTGGTTTTGTATTTGCTTTTTAGGGTCCATTTTTGTTTAGTGAGGATGAATGCATAGGTATTATAAACATACCGAAGTTTCGGCGTTTTCTGGTATTACTTACCTGCTTGTCTATTTCTTTGCCTTTAGCTACACTAGCAGATGTAATAGCTCTATCACAATAACTTCCTTCCAGAACAGCAACGCCCGAAGGTCGACTTGCAGTATCATTCTCGAAGTAGAACAACAGGTTTTGATAAAGAACAAAATACCTCAACTGCCATTTTCCTGTGTCCGAACTTTTCTTGTACAGAAATCCACAGATTGTGTTTTCTTGTCGTGCCTTGTTGGCCAGATACAACAATTGGCCATCATTGATCCTAATTCCTTTTTGCATGGTGTTGGGTAACATGTAAACTAGTCACTAAAACTATAACTTATTATAGCTATATCAAATAATATGAGAATATTATAGGCTGATATAATATACGCTATACGAAGCACAATCAATTATTAATAATTTCCCGATGAATTAAAACATCTTGCTATATAATCCTCGGATGAAATATTTATAGATTCCAGCCTCACTACGTAAAGACTAAATATTTATATGATAATAAGTAAATATGATATATTTCTAAGGAATCTCAGGAAGTCTACTCATGTTTAACGAATCCATTAGTTTATTCCATTTTTTTTAGTCCAACTCCTTATACTATGTTCATGCCATTAGGTTTTACACAAGCACCGAGTTCGGTGTAAATATCATTTCCACACAGCACAATTCAAATTACTGGTGCGTCCGGTTTGTAACAATATATTATCAATAACCGCAATTGGATATCACTTGTCTAATTGTCTACTTTGATTGTTTTACTCGCTTATTTCCAGCTCATTATCAGAAATATTGTCATAAGCGATAATGTCAAAAACGTGCTAACAACCCACTCCCACTAAATCGAGCTCCCAGAAATTACGTAAGTTCCTTTTACAATAAACGAACAAAACTTTATTTCACTGTTTTCACTTCATAAATCAGCTATTGACATTGTATATCACCGCATTCGTGTACAATCACCAAATAAGCCCACGTCTATTATTTTTCCATTAGTCCTTTTAGGAACTTGAACAGTTAATGCAAATCAAGTTTACACGAGCTGTCACATACTGAATACTACATTGTTATAGGTATATCTATATTTTCTATCTACATTATGATTTCATCTGTTAAACTAGGTCTGACAACTAAATTCAATGAGACAGACTTAACCTAAACGCATTCGTCGCTTTTCACCTGTAACCGTCTCATGGCACCAAAATCATGTCAATCTGCTAACGAAAACGAAATGATGCAGCCTTTTACTTCATTATGCAAAATACAGACACGCAAATGAAGCATGATATCCCCCGTTTCTTATCATCCAAAATTAATTCGAAACATGTATGAGATAAATTCTTCACACATAGTTGTATATTTAGATAGGTGAAATGTGAGCTAGCTGTTGACTACTTGTTGCGGAAAACATGAGTGACACGGTGTCCTAGCTCTAAAACAAACGGTAAGGCATTATAATTTAACACTTGTCAAATCATCACCTGGATATATACTTCTGACTTTTCTCGCACTGTATCTACAGCCGCTGTACAGCTAGTAGAACACACGACTGACTGTCTCACAGTGTCGCTGTGTCGAAGCCAACCCAGCATTCTGCAAACCAATAAATATGCTGTCTCGTGATACACGCGACAACGACGACGACTGAATATGTTTCCCAGCTCTCCGTGCAGGACTGGTATCCAACAATAACCTAGAACAGAAAACAAACACAGTACAGTCTATGTTTTATCAAAGCATCACCAACCTATAATGTCAGTCGTGAGAGCGATGCGCCCAGTCCTCGATCACAGTATATATCTACAATAATATACAAAACACTTAACTAAGATGTACATAAAATCTTGTATCACACTTTTTTTCTTCGTTGGTATTATTCATTAGCCATTAGGATGTCAAAAAAACCCTGAAAATTTACTTCACAAAGGAGAGCTGTTGCATGTAATGAATATTTATATTAAGACACCATAGTCGCTATAGTTAACCCGCAATGTACAAATACATAACGTAATGTTATTTCTTGGGGATAAATGAGAGCAAGATTTGCTAAAATTACGACCATATGCTTGCTTAAAGCCTCGAGCTAAATGGTTTATTTAATGTGATTAGTAGCGCCAATAGTTGGATGTTTTTCGCAGAATTTCTACTGGATAAAAGTAGGGTTAGTTACTTGTTTTGCCACTAATCAATAGAGCATGTATCATAACTAGGGTTAATTCTAATTGGTGTATGTAGCAAGCTGTTATGTAGACCAACAATGCACGCTAATGAGTAATGCTTAGTGGAGTTTCGCGCTATCTTATGTCATTTTTTAAGAGCAGGAACATCCTTGCATTAAAAGGACAAAGCGGTAATTAGGATATCAATTGCCGTAGATTAACGAATGTTGTAGGATTAGAATTTTGAAAGCTGATTCTCGTATTGAAGAGGTCATTTTAGTTTTACACGCTTGTATTTGTTCGTCCGTAGTGCATCAGATGTTTTCAACCTCAATGCATTTGTTACCTTTAGCCAGTATGCGCATCTCCTATTTTGGGACTGTTTCAGTAAAAATGTGACGTTTAATGAAGTGTTAATGAAGCGTTTTGAAACTTTGTCCAGCTGTCATCTAGATATTAAAGATGTACATCTCTTATTTCCTTAATTGTTTGGCAATTTGTATAGTATTGAATTAATAAAATATGTTGGACATAAATAATTTATTAAAGATTTTATCTTTATTTAGTTTCTTCGTCTTTGTGCTTCTAATTATTAACATTGAGTTCGATGAAATATAAATTACTAAATGAAAAACGAATTGTAAAGCGTGGCTTTGATCAGATTGATACATAATGGCTTTTAAGCTTTTTTCAGCAACCCCGTAACCTTCGAAACCTTACAAACCAGGTATAGCTTTATACTGTTGGCGTTTGCCATGGTCGTAAGCCATCAAGTGGCATAGAGAGAATATCTCTGACTAACCCCTCCTTTATGACAATATAATAAATTGAAGATTCACGCAGAACGCCGTCTTTAATTTTCCAACAACTATGTGGTTATTGGCGAAATGTCCTACCGCCAATTATGGCGAATCGTTTGCTTTTCGCACAGCAATTAACACTTGATTCCACGATAGATTATCTGAACTTATTAACCATTGTTTAATGCGTCGTGTAACCTATACCATAACAATCAATATGTGAATGTTATATTGAAATTACACTCTATAGTAGGTCACGAAATCAATATTAATTTTATTCCTCTATTACATAAATACAAGTTATGGATTGTCTATTATCCTCTGGTTTGACTTTCCATCTACTGTTGTCCAGAGATGTTCCTGAAGTCCATCAATTATGAGCATCGAACGCCACGTTACCAGGATTTCTGTCTTGGACGACCAGGCGCGGACACAGGGAAAAGGGGTGCCCCATTTTTATTAGCATCTTGTGGTCCTATTAGAGGCTAGAATATTTCTCAGATTTTTGTTTGAAACTTAAGTTAAAAATCAAAAGATCACAGACGAGTTTGCTATTGGTACGTAACTTTCTAGGTTATGCTCCCTGCTTTTACGCCAAATGTGTAATACATTGGTTAGTCCTTTTATTGAATGCCCAAATTTGGTGTGATGAATTGGGAACAGGAAATGTTGAAACTCATCTACTTTCATCGTTTTCTGTTGGCCCGTCCATCCGCCAGAGACGAACCATATCGATAATGAGCATTCCAAGACACCCCCTCCCCCACCTTATCCGAATACCTTGTTAATGCGATAGAGACTAGAGTTTTTATCAGATGCTGGTTCAAATTTAGTGTGAAGCATTGGGGTCGTGTATATATTCAGCATCCCTGTTCCGCTATCTTCCATTCCAAAGTTACCTCTGTGCCTTAACGCGGTGGAGGCTACAATTTATAATGGATTTTTCTTTAAAAAAAATTGGGTGTGAAGCATTGGAGTAGTGATAGTACGAATCCTAACGATATTCAGGCTTCTGCGACATCTCGTTCCGGCGTTACCTCCCGTTTACCCCCCAAAAAATTGTTAATGCATCAGAATCTTCAGTTCCTAACTAGTTGGCGTGACGAATTGGGGTCAAGCTTCCATTCCGGAGTTAACCCCTTTTTTCCTAAAACCTTGTCAACACAGATATTCAGGCTTCTGCGACATCTCGTTCCGGCGTTACCTCCCGTTTACCCCCCAAAAAATTGTTAATGCATCAGAATCTTCAGTTCCTAACTAGTTGGCGTGACGAATTGGGGTCAAGCTTCCATTCCGGAGTTAACCCCTTTTTTCCTAAAACCTTGTCAACACAGATACAATTTTTAACATATATTTTTCAACTTGGTATGGAGCATTGCGGTCAGGAGAGGACGCACCATATCGATATTCACTGTTCCGTCACCTTCCATGCCGGAGTTACTACACCCCCTCCCCTTTATCCGAAAACCTTGTAAATGCATGTTTTTCAAATTTGGGGTGAAACAAGTGTATTTCAAATTCGGGGTGAAGCACTAGGATTGTGAGATGATGAACCCTATTGCTTTTCAAATTTCGGATCGGATGGGATTAAACCTGTTGATTTTCGGCATACAAGAACACGATTATAGATTGATTTCTTAAAGGCATTGTTATGCCTAAATAAATGTGCTCAACATACAAGTTGTCCTTTATTATAAGCTGCTGTGTATGACTTTATTTTTTCGAGACATAGCTGTTATTTTAGGGGCATGTTCAGGGATTTGAGCAGAAGGGGATCTGGGGTGGAGACAACGCAAAGTTTGACGTGAGGTCAAGATTATCCGAGAATGTTCTCAAATCAAAAGCTCCAGACAATATTTCTACCGCCCATTTACATAGGCGTACGTGGCCGAAGTCGCGAAGCGTCCAGAAAATTTTGAAAACCAGACGGCCATAGACGCGATTTCCAGGCATTTCGAATACTTTCTAGTAATTTGGAGTGGGTAGTAAATTATGTCAGTTGCAGCATAAAAACCGGTAGTTCACATAGATATGTTGTACTGGTTGGGGTAAGGCCACACCCCTACCCCCACCCCATTTTCAAAACTCCTCGACTAATGACCGATCTCACGCAATTCTGAGCTCTTTTCAGATTTCTATTTTTTTTCATGAAAATATTTGGGGGGGGGGGGGCGGTGCCCCCGCCTCGTACGCCCATTTAGGAGCATATATGTATAGAATTAGAGTGGGGTGGGGTCATCAAAAAGAACATGCTTTGCACGTCTGTTTGTTGGACGTTATTTCGATGAATGCAAGATACAAAATTATTTTGCGCGAGCAGCGGAGGATCCGGACTCGTCTCCCCCTGGACACGCGCCATTGTATGGTTAATATTGGTATTCATTATTTGCGATATTAACACCCTGCACTTTGTAATGTATACTTATATATACCACGTTCATGCTCAAATAGTACACCAAAAGCACGTAATTTCCACTTGACAACCTCATCGGGATTGCCGCAATACTGTTTGCCCTACGCTGCAGTAATAAATGCCCTGTAGGTCATACCATGAAAATTAAAATCATTGGCAGGTGTCGAGAATTTTATATTTCCTGAAATCATCTCAGTCATATCGTTACAGTATCACAAACCCTCATATTTATATTTCTTAAACATGTTTTCACTGTGAGGATCAATTTCTTATTGTTTCATTATATCATTAAATGCATTATTTGATCTTTTTGGTTACATATATTATAGCTATTTACGGTATATTCTTCTACGCACCTTTGTTTGATTAACATCTTTTGGGAGCTGCTCAAGTTCGCTGTTCTTAGTGCTTATAATGACTTGTGAAATCTAGTTGAAAACGTCACAGTGTAATAAACCATAGTATTGTTATCCACAATTTCACAAATAGTGTTTTTTATTTGATTATCTCCCAGTTACTAAACGTCATTCAAAGAATAAGTTTCCTTATATAAAAGTACGTTATGACGGGAGATTTGAGTCAAAAGTCAGTGCGAACGAACAGTCTTTCACAGCACCGCATATATTCGAAAACACAGAAAAGCACTAACAAATCTAAGAATAAGCGCACAGAAATTGAAAATTGAAACAGGGAGATATTTAAAATTAGACGTAAACGATCGTTTGTCTAATATATGTCAGGAGGTAGAAAACGAAATTCATTTGATAACAAATTGTAAAAGACACGACGAAAAAAGAAAAGAACTGTTCAGATTAATTCTAGTTCGCGAACCAAATTTTTATAAACTGAATGATTTACAACAATTTAAAATACTGATGATGAAAATAAAAATATAGAAATATTAAAATGTTTAGGAGCTTTTGTATACAATTCGTTTATGTCTTTGTGAAGTTGTGCATATTTGTATAATTATGTCCATGTATGTATCCTTTGTTTGTATATTTCTATTATTTTATTTGTATATGCACATAACCTTGTAAGGGTTTTTTATGCAATAAAGTTTTTCTTCTATAGTCCTCAGTGCATCTAATTGTAAAAGTTCTAGTTTATTTGTTAGTTCGGCAGTTCTCCCATAAAACATCACATTAGTCAAATGGGGAAGAATAT